CAGGCTTTTGGTTTGCTAGCCTGCTGCCTCAGCTACTTACGTAGCTGGGATTGAAGGCCTGGGTCACTAAGTCCTGCTACAAATACCGTATTAACAGAAGCTTCAAACAGCTTAGCTGTAGCCACCGTTTGCAACCATGATATTTAAGACTTTTTTACTGAAAGAATATGCTGTAAGAGGCGATAGAAAGCTTCTGCTGGGTTATTACGCATTATGTGCCTTGTTCCTTTTCTTAAACAAAAGAAAGAGACACTTGAGTTGGAAGTTTCTGTAGAGGAAAACAAAGAAGGAAAAGGCTTCTTCCAAATTCAGGTCTATGCGGAGGCATAGGAAATGCCATCTTAGAAAGTTCCTGAGGGCAGTGACTGTTTTTTAAATGGGTGTTATTTATTTTTTGCTTTCATTACCAGTCAGTATTTCTAATATTTTCATCATCTTTTGGAAGTGTAGTGTGTTCTTTGCAGGGCAGAAAACATCTACATGTTTACAGTGATTCAAATAATTTCTTCAGCTTTGGACAACAAATATTTTTTTATATATCCCTGTTCAGCTAATTTTGAAAAGAGGTATGTAGAGCTTCTTGTGTCTTAGTTAGATTAAGTAAGCATAGCAATGTATCACACATGATGTGAGCCAGCTCCTCATCTAATGCTCAAATGAAAAAAATATTTAAAAAAAGCCAATTTGAATCCTTTTGTTTAAATCATTTGTAATTCAAAGAAACATGAGGGGATTCCATAAAACTCACTCATGATATAACCATCCATGCATGCTACTAATTTTCACTTAAAATAAAAAAAAAGCCAACTATTTTTGTGTACATATTTACTGAAGAAAAATTCATTATCTAGTTCTTCATGAAACTGACAGAACACCTCACCATTGGGAGCTACCACACTGTAGGAATCAGTTTCATTGCTTACTCCGAGTTTTTAAATAAGCGTATCCTTCTTTGATAGGCTACTTACCTGAACATTTAAAAGTACTGCAAACTCTGAGATATGGCCATCATTATTCTCATAAATATTTACTACTGGGTTTTATTCTGGCTTAAGCGGATATAGGAATGGTGTCAGTGTGATTTTACAGGGCTTATGCAATCAATACATGTATTCTAGTTATATCAGTAGAATTTGGAAGCCCCATAATAGGAATAACCTGATGTAACAGTCCATCAAGAGAGGGCAGTCTATGCAAGAGAAGCATTGTAGTTCAGGTTCTAATTAGGTGCTAACATTTGATAAGCACTTACTTTGATAATGCTATTACAAAGTAAGCTACAGTAAGTTAGCTGGAGTTGACATATTGAAATGGGCAATTTTTCAGGACTTTTTGTGTTTATAAGTTGTCAATGTTTATTTAAGGAACACACCACAGTTGTTATATTGGTCCTGTAAGGGACATGTAGGAATACAGTAGAGATAGTTGAGGTACAATAGATACCAATTACATTCACTAAGAACGAGAGGGTCTGCTCTGAAAGCAGAGTAACGTTCAGGATATGGCCGGGACGCAACTGAATTTCTTGGAAAGGCATTATTGTTCTTCTAATTTGACTTTATAGGCTCCTTTGCCATCTTAGCAGGAAGACATTTTTACGGTGTCTAATTATTTCACAGATATCGAAGCTCCCAAAACATTAAATATTCTTCTAACATGCGATTCAACCATTTTATGCCTTCCTATTCACCAATGGAAAATTAAAGCACCAACTCATACAAGACTTCGATACAAATGTTTAAAACGGAGCTTTCTTGTTGTGGCCAAAGACTGAGGGTATCGCACATGACAGTTGACAGATAAATGGATAAAGGATATCCATCCAATGAAGTATTCCTGTTTCAGTAGAAACAAACTATTTACAAATGCTGCACTAACGCATATGAATTGCTGAGTAATTATGCTGACTATGAAAACTACAAAAATAAAGCACAGTTTAGGACCCTCATTATAATTACTATTATTATTATCTTTAACGCAGACTGTTTTGTAGCAAAAAGCTAATCAGGTGCTGCTTTGAATCAGTGTAGGGGCTACCAGGAGGACCCATTACAGAGGGCCAGGAAGACATTTTTGAAGGGGATGCTTATTACTGGGGACTGCAGCAAGGCTTCATGTCATATGTATGTCAAACTCACCAAGTTTTACATTTACATATTTAATAATGTGCCTCAGTGAGACTGGCAGCCCTATGCGTGATTCAATGTTGTTCTTAACAGAAGTTATGGAAATATAACAAAAGTCCCCCCTAAAAAGGAAAGGAAAATATTTAGGCTTTTCGTTTCATCATATTTTCTCTAATCAGGCTCCCGGAATAAAGCGAGGTCTTCCTACGAAACCACCATGTAGGTTAAAGTTCAAAGACAAGAAAAGAAAATTCTAACCCTAGATTCACACCTTCTTACTGTCAAAAATTTTTTAAAAATCAAAAGAATGTGACGTTCTTCCCAGTTTCTCACTCACATTACACACAACCAACAGTGTGCCTAATGCTGGGGCAGAGCTCTCAGCAGGTGTAGACTGGTTGTCTGTTTTAAGAATGAACATGAGTCACGGAGCTCTTCCAAAGTTAAATTAATTCAACACTAAGTCTAGAGTGCTTCTTCCTTTTTCAAAATGCCCGACCAATTAATAAAACACCAAAGACAACCACACTTGTCTCCTACTCACACTCAAAAGGCAGAGCTATCCTGCACATAATTTAACTCCTACAACCCCATTGCCATTGCTAAATATAATATGTACCAGAACCTCTGAGGTAGAAAGTCATGGATCTAGAGACAGGCAAGATAGCCGATGAAGGGTCTAGGCTCTTCACCAGCATGCTGTTCACTGGAAGGCATCTGTCCACAAGGAGTTCAATTTATCTTCATGCATTCAGCATGGCAGACCGCTTCTCTTCTCTTCTCCAGTGTGTATTTGAGATACTGGTACAACCTTGAAAAGCAAAGCATTTGTGCTGGTGCAGCGCCAACGGCCGGGTTTTGATCTTTCCTACTTACAGTGGTCAAATTCTTGCAATGTCCACACAATTCAATGACTGGTATGAACAGGTTAAATCTGGAACTTCTCTAGAGCTCTGCACTGCATGTAGGCATTTGTCTTGGAAGTTGTAAAAGCAGCGAACACTGATTAATCAATAGTATCCAGCAGATCCAACTATCATCTTTTTCTATCATTAAATCCTTGTTGTAAACAAGATTATTGTCTAGTTTTGGAAGCCTCTGACGAGCTCCTGCTGCTCATGCAGGCATATCTAATGTAGGTCAAGGGCAAGCCACAGCAGTCTACATCTGAGGCCAAGTACCTCAGCCAGCACCTTTGCTGATATTAGCATACTCGGGAGAGCTTGCCAAGACTTACCTTGGCCACCATCTGCTGCGGCCATCCAGGACACCAGCTTGGAATGAGCCACACTCTCAAGCATAATTCTATACAGGATAATTTGCCTTTTAAGTTTGGCATAACAAGGGAAGTGAGATGCTGTGCTTTAGCTAAAAACTCTGTGTCGAGCACCTTCATGCCACATCTCATTTCTTTTCTGAGGCCCTACAACCAGGGAAGACCCAATATTATACTCCATCTCTGCAGAATTACTTCCGGTAGACTGGGCTACCTTAAATTCGGGTCAAACCCTTATCATTGTACTTTAAGGCTTAATGCACAAAGCTGGGGGTGGTGATACAAGCCTTTAATCCCAGCACTTGGAAGGCAGAGGCAGGCAGATCTCTGTGAGTTCAAGGACAGGCTGGTCTACACAGTGAGTTCCAAGACATCCAAGGCTATGTAGAAACCTCGTCTCAAAAAGACTGAGGTACAAAATGGAGCAATTAAAAGGCTACTGCACTTTTACAAATTAAAACCATGGCCCAATATAAACTTGTATCAACTGCCAAGATCAAACTTCCTTTTAAAAATTTAAAGTTTGAAACCAGTCTCTGGTCTTCTAAAACTTCGTGTGTACACAGTTATCCCTTTGTGTATACATGGTTATTATGTATATGTTATCCTTTCATGTGTACATTATCCTTTTTCATCTTTGTCTTGACAAATTGGACATATATGGCATACTTTTTAATTACTTTGTTTTTCAGCATTGGGACTTTAATGCAGGACCTTGTACATACTAGGCAAGCAATCTACCCACCACTAAGCTGTAACCTTAGCCTATAGAACAAATTCTCAATATCCCTTTCTGTGTCTATCCCCCTTAGCCTTTCTCAACAGAACTTGTTTTTACAATGTACGAGAATGGCAGTCAAGAATAAGTATGTTCTGGTCTAGTATGCCGGCATGTGCCTGTAGTACTAGCTCCTTGGGATGCTGAAGATCATGAATCCAGGAACTGAGGCTGGCTTAGGCAAAATAGCATGAGAACCCATCTCGAGAAATGGTTTAGTCAGTAAAATGACTGCTGTGCTGTCCAAGGATATGGACCTGAGGTGGGATTCCCCAAAGGCTAGAATGCTGTTCCTGTCACCCCAGTGTTGGGGAGGCCGGGACAGGAAGACTCCAAGTTAGTGAGAAATTCTTATCTCAAACAATGAGGTTGTGTGAGTGATTGAAGACCTCAACTGCTGGCCTCCACACACATGCCCACACACATGTACATGTGCATATAAATACACATACACAAGTAGGGTGGGAGGATAGGGAGATTATATGTACTCTAAACCAGCATGTATGTTTTCAAACATAAAAGTTACAACACTGTCCCAAGGCAAATAAGAAGACAATGACATTTTCTCTATATGGGAGGAACCGTTAGGAATAGAAGGAAAACATTATCCCACTACCAGTAACTATTTTTATATACTTGACTACATTCAAACCTTTTCCTTGTAATTGCTCCTGCTCCATTTGCCTCTAGCTTTTGCAACCTTGAAGATTTCTTAAGTATTTCACCCACAAAATTCTTCTTGTCTCCCTACATAGCCTAGCTGAGGCAGCTAATCCTTTTGGTTCACAAGTCACTGAAATGCTTCATGTGAGCTCAGGCCTCCTATTTCAAAACAATTTATTTCATAAAAATTCCACTGAAGGTTTTTAAAGTTCAGGATAAAGTTATTCTTTGTGGAGAATATATATATATAGAATTTTTTTCTATTACAAAAGCAAAAAGTAATTTATCAATCCATTGATGTCAACAAACTTAGTTCACTGTTGAGAGATCCCAACACATACAAAAGGATGCAACAGTCAGTCAAAATTTAATCTTTAAAGACAAAATGTCTATTTTAACTGTTCTCTTGTATTTTCTGAAGAAGATACTCCATTTGTAAATTCAGGTTTGGCTGGCCCTTTTTAGTCTTTTTGCTCAGTATTTTGAAAGCTTCCATTTTTTTCTTCTTGTAGAGCCTTTGGGCTTCTTCTCTTTCTTGCTTTCTCATTTCAAATTCCTGCAATTATACATATACATTAGTTCATTAGTCACAAACAGAAAACACAGGTCAGAATTGTTTTGAAATCACTATCACAATGCAAACCTACTGATATTTGTCTTTTATATTGTGTAAAATGTGAATAGTTTTCTAAAATGAAGTAGTATGTCCTCCTTGCTTTCATACCATAACGATAGAAGGAATATCAAAGAATAACAGTCATGGCAGCACTTTATGCATTTGTATGTAAGTAAAAGAAAAGTCAAATATTTAACAAGTTCACTGTTTAAGTCCACTAAAGAATTAGAGGGACCTTCATAGAGGTTAACTAGACTAATATTCTATATAACACTAAAAAGTTCATTTCCACAAAACTGTACCGTGTGTGTGTGTGTGTGTGTGTGTGTGTGTGTGTGTGTGTGTGTGTGTGTGTGGTTTAGCTAATTTACAGATTTGATTTAGAAAATGGTGGCCACCTACTTACTATACTAATGCAAAACACTCTGTTAGACCTCTTGAGTGTCATCATTAAGGACTATCATGCTCATTTGACTTGCTATGATAAAACGCAAATCTACGTACAGAGGACGATAACTCAAAATGATCAATAGCTCTGAAGATGAGTTATCAAACAAGCACTACAACATTCTCACTAACTTAAACGTAACAGCTGAAAAGAAGCTGTATTATTTTTTCTTCATGTCCAATCCAGGAAGCCTCAAAATTATATACTAGACACATTAGACTCACACTCATTTGTAATGACAAGCAATTATAGTTAGCAAAGAATCTTACATACAATTTGTGAAACTACGGCACACTCCATTCTTGTAAAAAATTTTCCTAGTTTACTTTGTTGGTCTTACATACAAGGAGCAAGCTCAGTGATAAAGAAGTGACCTGCCAGGGATCGCTATGTGGCAGAATCAGATTCAAGTGTTCATCAGGTGATATCCTATTACTTAAAACCATTTAACTATTTGGTGTAGTATTTATTTTAATATAAGTACATAGAGATCTGAAGCTGGTGTCGTTGGCGCATGCCTCTAATCCTAGCCCCGGGGAGGCAGAAGCAGGTAGATCTCTAAGTTCCAAGCCAGTCAGTGCTATACAGTGAGACTTGCCTCAAAAAAGATCTGAAACTTATCTGTGAGTTCTGCTGCCTGGCCTGGTTTATCCTTAGGGCATTACACTTATTTAACACTCTGACCCTCAATTTTGTGTCTATTGAACTAATTCTTAACAATTTTGATCTCATGGGTAAAGTGTCACTGGCTTTTGTATTAATATTAGAGATCATCTCTGCCTGTCATCAGCTGAAGAATAATCATAAGCATTTTAGATACTAAACTCTGAATTTCTTTAACTACTCATATTCTAATGTGTATTAATGCAATTTTATCAGTACTGTCTTTGGGGAAATTTTGATGAAATACTGGTACATTATTTAAGCTTTAGTACAAAACAAACCAAAAAAATCTAAAAGCCAAAACCTTAAAAATAACCATTACTACTCTGCACAGATGCAGTTTTTAAGGTCATAGATCAAGGGCCAAAGGAGATGCTTAAGGAAATGTTTAAGCATGGAAGACAGCTACATTTCTGAGTATTTTATTCCAACACTTCCCCTCCGGCTTTTACTGTAATGTAAAATTAAGAAAAGAATCAATAGGTCTCAGGTCCTCAAATTTACAGCACATAAAATTATTTCAAAGAACTTGTTAAAGGTCTAAGTTCTTAGGTTGTAGTCTGAAAAACATTATCACCGATGCCAGATATTCATATTATTGACAAGCAACTTTTTTTTAAATTAAATTTTATCACTGACCTACTAGTATTGTCTGAGCCAATAAAGGACTTAGAATATTGTACAGTTCTATAAGCCTGCTCCTGAGTAATCCAAAAAATAAGTATTGAAACAGACAATATTATGTGCCCAATACTAAGCAGCATAGCTTGTACATGCTAAAGATAAAGAAAAATAAACCTAAATAATTAAAAAGTAGAACTTACGAATTTCTTGGCAGCACGCTTTGCTTGTACCCGTTCATACTCTTCTTGTGCCTTTTGGTTTGAAGTTTTCTTCTTCTTTTTCTTTGGAATAGTATCAGAACTTGCAAGAGAAATTAAGACGTGCAAGTTAAATCACTCATGAATGATTGAGACAAAATTATGCAATTATGTCAAATACAGTATTTATATACAAAACCGTCACTAATACAAATTGAAGGAAGCATGGAGATAAAGAATAACAACAACAAAAAATATGAAAATGCTCAAATAAGACATTAAAGCCACAGTTACAGTTACAAACTAAAGCATGGTAAATTGATATTTTTGGAGAAAGATTGAACTAGGGAAGTACAGTAGGTTTGGTTGGATATTAAAATGTTGTAAACAGATGGGAAATGAAGGATGTAACAAGTTGTGTTATAAATAAACTGAAATCTGAGTTCTTTGATCACCCTGTCTCTAACCTCTTACCACTAACCATCAATCCTCAGAAATGGTCTTCCTTTATAAATCTTCCATCTTGAAGCACTCTGAGATCTTAAAGGTAAGTAGTTATGATGTTACTTATTATCTGACTTAATAACTTTCCTGTCCTCTGTGCCTCAATTTCTCATGTCATAACCATACCATATTTCAGCAGCTCCCTAGTTAAAATTAAATACATATATTTTCCATTCCTAAAGTCTATGTGTTCTTCAGCTAATCTTGTTTCTTAACTTTTCCTATCAAATTCCTACACAAAGAATAAACTACAGCCATCACTTCCCATTCACTCCTTAACTCTGACATATGAGTTCTGCTCCACCAGTCCAAACCGTTGTTACAAAGACAGTATTGATCTCCTAGCCCAAAATATACAGTTGGCTTTTTGCTTTATTCTTTTCTTTACTTCTGAAAATTTCAGTCAGGGTTTGAGTGTCAGTCTTCACTTTCTAATTCTCTGTGTGCATGTGAGTGTCCCTGTAGCTTTGGGCATGCATGTATAGACATGTGGAGACTAGGGCACTGCTCACTACCTTGTTTGAGACAAGGTATCTCAGTGAAGCAGGGGGCTGGCCAATCAGCTCCACCTACTAAAAGCATACTGAAAACAAAACACAAGGCCTCCAAGACTTTCATGGCCCTTATCGCCAACTATATACATTGCTGTTATTTGCAACACTATGCTCAATTTTATTTTATTTTATTTTTTAATTTTTGGAAACTTATATACATTCATTATGATGTATTTTTGATCAGATCCACCCACCATTTTTTCTTCTCTAATTCCTTCCCTATCCTGTACACTACCTTTCCTTCCTCACTTCATGGGCTTCTTTTGTATTTTTATTAAACTCACTGAGTCCACTTACTGCTGTCAGTATGGGGTGGGGCCATCTACCAGAGCATAGGCCGCCTCTCAGACCTGCATCCACCAAGACTGACTCCCCCCACCACCACCCCCAGCCATCAGTAGCCAAAATTGCCTAAGCTGGATACACCCCCCGCATCCCATGCTGGGATTTTGTCTGGCTTGATCTTGCGTATGTTTTGTCCATGTAATCATTGTATCAGCTTTGAAAGGCAAAATTTTTGTTTAAAAAAAAAGTTATGATCCAAAGTGATGCCTGGCTGGCTTCCTTGCTAGTTTACATGCTACTACATTTTTGATTGAATTATATGCAGACAGAGTTTTATAAGCTAGCTTTTATAAAAGCAAAGTGATGGAGAGGACTTGTTCTGGGACAGGATCTTCTAAAGCAGTGTCAGCTGGCCGGAAACTCACCATCTAGTCAACTCACCATCTAGTCCAGCTTAGCCACAAATTGTGACAAACTGTGGCTATGCCTCCTCAGTACAGCTATTACCAGGGATGAGACATCACACATCCAGGAAACACCCATGTGTTCAGCACATTAAAACGTTTTTTGTTGTTTTATGAGATGGACTCTCACTATGCAGCTCAAGCTACCTTTGAATTAACAGCACTCTTCCCACTTCAGCCTTCTGAGATGATCACAGGCATGTAGAACAAGGTCTTGCTTGATTTTTGTTAACTACACCTATTTCCTGTACCCTTTGCAGAAAATGCAAATTGAATTATGATAATAGCAGTTAGCATTCATAAACACCAAATATCATACATTTTAAAAGCCTGATATAAATTAATCTGGCCATCAAAATGTCATGAAATATAATACTTTAAACACATCATTCACACAAGACGACGTTCACTTTAAGGCTGTTCAACATGGTGTGCACAGTAGCTCCTTTTACTGTCCTTCCCATCATGGAGGACACTGGTATACCAACATGTAAAGTCTGGCTCCATAATCTCAAGTGTCAACAACTACACACTTGCATTATTTCTCTAGTATCTCATTATGCTGCCCACATTGGCCTGGAACTTATAATCATCCTGCCTCAGCTTCCCAAATGCTGGCCTTACAGATATACAAGACCAAGCCTGGCCTAAAAATTTAAAGCACACACATGATTATATGTACTTATTAATAATTGGGTTTAATTATTGTCCAATGAAGTTACCTGTTCTTGAGAGGCAGTAATTCAAAACTCAAATCTCTTGATTCTCATTTCATATTCTTGTGAACTATGTTCAACTAGCCTACTTCAGTCATTTTACACTAAAAATAGAAACTGTGAAAATATGATAACATGACTTTGAAAATGTGTTAAGAAAACTTCCAATTCTTACACAAGTTGCTCTACATCTTCTATAAAACACTATGTACATTTGAAGTAACGAATTTCAAAAGAAGAAAGTACATACTTTACTGTACACAGCTGTTCTGGCTGTAGCTGGCGATCACTAGATGGCTCTTCAGACGTCTGCTCAGGGTTGCACTCTTCTTCAGGCAGGGGCAGGTCAACTTGATCTTCAGATGGAGGCAGGCCGACCTTTCTCTGCTGTCTCCTGAGTCTTTCTTCTTCAGCTAAATAGAGGTGCTTCAGATGGTCTGGGTAATGATCAGTGAACTGGGATTCCTGTGACACTGACACCTTCTTTACCTTCCATAGCAATTTCTTGTAATGTTGCTGGATCTTCAGTTTCCTCCGAAATGCAAAACCTTGTCCTAGCATTGAAGGATTTCGGTCACAATTACTTTCACAGAAAGTGAAAAATAAAGCTACTAGAAACGAATTTTTTTTTTTAAAAAAAAAACATTATATTCAAATGATATAATCACTTGGTTTTGTTTTAAAGATTAGGTTAGTCAACACATTTAATGATGTACCGAGGAGCAAGTTGGCTGGCACTTTGCCTGAATATAAGGCTAACGATTGTCAAACACCACAAAAAACAAACAAACAAAAAAACCCTTCAAAGTAAAACTAAAGAGTAAACTAAACTCTACTGTTCAACTTGAATTTGTAACCGTATTCACCAGTTAAAATTTCTTTAACTCATCTAAAACATTACCTGGGGGTCTTCAATAAAGACGTAAAAATAGGGTGGGGGAATCTTACTTTTTTCCTTAATTGAAGAAACTTACTAATCACTTACTTTCCAGAACAAAACACAACACCACTAAAGGGGGATAATCTACAACTTCCCGAACACCTGTCAATTATTATCAGATCCAACAAAATACTTAACCACTTGAAGCGCCATGAGAGGCCTTACAGAGACAAAACAAGGAATCTAAAGAACAGGATGGGACTGGAGGGCTACGGTGGTGTTTCTAACTATCAAGGCTTTGGGCCAGTGCATTTTTAACCCCCTGTTTCTCTCTGTCCTTGGCGGTAATGCAGATGTTAATCTGTACACAGTAGTACACAGCCAGATGGACCCCTAGACGCTCCGTGCTTCATGTTAGAGGAACGGGCTGCGAGAGATGAGTTAGGTTGACAGCACTGAGTCGTTCTCCCATGCAAAGGATCGAGACGCTAATGGGTCGGGCGGGCTTAGGAAGAATGAGCCCCCAGATCTCAAGAAAGACCGGGTCTACGTCCTAAAGCCTTTTTCCAAGCTGAGAAACTTCACGCACCCCGGGGCTCCCCCGCGGCTGTCCTCCCACCTACCCTCGCGAACGCTGCCCCGGAAGGCTTGCTGGTGGCTAGGCCGCCAGGCCCTGCGTTTCCCAAAGCTCGGGTTCCTGAATCCGCCCCGGGGCGTCCCGTCCCCACGCGACTCAATTCCTCCTCCGCTCCGCCACCTCGCCGCCGGCCTCGCCGGCGCCATCCCGCACCGCCCGGCTTGGAAGGACTACTAGGGGGTCGCCGACGTTATACGTCACCAGGCGGAAGCAGTCCACCGGGGGCCCGACGAGCTCAGCGCGTGCTCGGAGCTCGACTGCTTCCGCCTGGCGGCCGCCCCGGGAAGCGGCGGGAGCGGCGCCGCGCGGCCATGTGGGCGCCACCTGCAGCCCTGGAGGGCGAGCGTCATGGCGGCGCCGCGCTGCCTCCCCGGGACCCCGGACCTGCCCACGCTGCACGCCACGCTGCGGGGCCTGCTGCGCTTCCTGCGGGGCGCCCTGCCCATCTCGGGCGCGCACACGGTGGACTTCTACACCGCCTCGCTCTGGCAGGAGCTGGTCGGCTTGCCCCCCGACGGCGTGCTGGCGGCGCTGAGGGAGGCGGCGGCGGCGGAGGAGGAGGGGCCAGGTGACCGGAGGGGCGGGGCGAGGTGGGGAGGGGAGGGGCGAGGGCGGAGGGGCGGGGCGAGGAGAGCGGGGCGGGGCGGACGGACGGACGCCGCGTCTGCCGCTGCGCCCCCTGGTGGAAGTCCGCGGAAGTGGCGGGG